GTGGCTTGGTTTGTTTTAATTATTTTGCTAAGTCTAAGGGTGAACATCAAACATGGACACTGTTGATATGTAATTAAACTGAAATGAATTATTAAGGATGCACCTAAAATTTAAAATATGTTTGTACGTTAAAGTTTGAAAATTTTATGAGTTCTTTAACAATTTTTGTTTTTTCACGATTTGGTAAGATAAAATGATGAAAAAAGTAACGCATGCAAAGAAAAAAAACATCAAAGAGGTGGACTATATTTTGCCTTTTGACTTTTGAGTGATCATGTTCATGCCGTTGATTGCGCTCTTTCTTCCATTCCCTAAATCATTAACTCTACTTTCATAATTAGATTTTCAATTACAATTTCATGTTCTTTTTTATCACAAATGCACAACTAAACTTCCATAAGAAAAGAAAACATGACCGGCGTTGAAAAAATTGTTATATTGTAGACTTAATAACTTTACACAAACATGAAGTGCACATCATCATTTTTCTGTTTTTTACTTCAAATAGTACATATTTTTTTTCAAAATCACAGCTTTCACAAATAGATTGGAATTTAAATTTTGTAATCATTGAGTAGTAAAGGCGATCACGTAAATTAACCAAAAAATTCACAAAAAAGAAGTTACACAAACCAATAAATTGAGCCTCGAAGTGAAGAGAATTAAGCTTAAGCTATATCCTCATAGGAATATATGGGCCAATTCTACAATAATGGGCCTGAATAGACCCGACGCATGCATTTATGATTTTGATGAATATAAATTCATTTATATTTTCTAAAATGAAAAAGAGATTCCGTGCCTTTTCCATTGAAAAGCAAATTATAAAATTTTAACTCAGAAAAATATTTAAATATCAATAATTCTAGGGGTTTTGTTGTTGTTGTTTTGATAATATGAGAAGAAAGAAAGGACTAATAATGAATGTGTTTTGTTGATAACATAAAGCGGTTTTAAGTTTTTGGCACAATGGGATAGCTACAAAAGCCGGGTTCTACACATTAAAAATAAATGAAAAATGAAAAAAATAGAAAAATTAGGAGAAAGGGAGAGGTGGGATTCTAGATGAAAATACTAAACTCTTATAGCA